ATTAAAAAAAATTTAGGAGCTAGGATATTTATTGAATTTTTAAAAAAATATTTTTTTAAAATTCATACAACACTACAGTCTTAGATTTGATTGCAATCAAATCTAAGATTAATATATAGAATATTAAGATTATTTGTAAAAGAGTATGTTGATGCATTGCTAAAATACCAAATTTATAACTACTTAATTGACCTTCAAGAAGTAGCTCAATCACCTTTTAAAAACATTTATATTTATTAAAATATAATTTTTTTTTCCAAAAATAAAATAAAAATAAAAATAAAAAAATAAAAAATATATATAATTTTAAAAATCTCTTATATATGCTCTAATCTACTTTGTACAAAATATAAATGGATCCTTGCAAATGACTATAGATTATTGTAGATTAAATAAATTGACCATTGAAATTATTTATCCTTTGCTTTTAATTTCAAGTCTTCTTGATCAATTAAGTGAAGTTAAGATCTATATTAAGATAGATTTGCATAACAATTGTAACTACTACATATTTGAAAATAAGTTGAATAGGATATTGCATTCTTATTTAGTTATGGTTATTTTAAATGTTATTTCATGTCTTTTGAACTTACAAATTTTTTAGATTTTTTTAAATATTTAATACACAATGTATTTTGTTAATTTTTAGATAGTTTTTTCTTACTTAATATTTAGACAACATTCTTATCTATTCTAAGAATACTGAAAACCATAAACAACATATATTTTCTTGTATTTTGAAAACTTAGAGATACAAGACTATATGTTAAGATTAAATAAATAAATAAATAAATGTTTTATACAATTCAAGTTAAACTTTTTAAATGTATTATCTCAAATAATAATTTTCAAATAAATTCTAAGAAAATATAGATATTATAGATTAATAAACTCTAAAAATGATATATGATGTCTGATGTTTTTTTGAATTTTCAAACTATTATCAATTATAGATAAATACTTTTTCTGAATTTACTTCTTTACTTACACACTTAACTTGAAAATACAACTTAAAGTAGAATAAATATATTGAAGTAGCATTTTAAGTTTTAAAAGTAGCTTTCATTATAGCTTTTTTTTAAATTGATTTTTTAAATTCATTTTATATTTAAAATTTATGCATCAAAATTATATTTTATAAAATTTTATTATAAATCAATCCACATCATAGGTTTTATCTTATTTATTTTTATAAAAAAAAAAATCTCAATTATTAAAATTAATTATGAGATCCAAAGTATTAAATAATTATTATTATAGATTTATTTTTAAAATAGAATTATTATTTAAAATATTATATTAATCTAATTATATTTTATATTTAATAAAAAAAATAATAATTCATGTCAATATATATCTTAAATTTTTACATGAAATCTCAAAGATGGCTTCAAATGTAAAATGTTGTTAAAGCATATTTTTAATCTTGAGATACTTATTCTTTAAAAAAGGTTCTAAATCATTGATCCAACATTTATTTATTTTAAAGAAGCCTTGGTCATTTTTTTCAAAGAATATAATTACAAATCTTCTACTTTTAAATATTTAAAATTCTATTTTGTAATAGTAGATTTTTAACCAAAATTAAACATCATATATCTTCTATTAAAACCATTGTTAGTAAAGAAACAACTGATTTTTTTTCTATAAAGTCTTTACAAACCTCATAGGTTTTCAAATAATATTATTTCTAATCAAAGATCTCAATTTGTTTCAAGGTTTTGGATGATATTAAAAATATATTAAAGGTTGATATTTAATTATTTTTAGTCTTTAATCTTCAAATTAATGGATAAATATAAATATATGGATTAAAGATAAAAATAATATTGTGAAGGATATGAATCACAAACAATCAAAATGTCAATACACTCTTATGTCACTCCAAAAAAATAATTATTTATTCAAAGATATTTTAATATTAAAACTAAAATGGCTATTATAAAAAAAAAAAAGCGTAAAGACTCTTGAAACAAGACTAAGAACAAGAAAGACATTGACAAGAGTGAGTAAGGCCTCAATCTTGCCTCTATACTATTTAATTAAGAGCTACATTGTGACATATTGTAGGACCTCTAGTATATGTCCAAGTTGCAAGGTAAGTGTCTAACTTGCAAGAAAAGTTTCATATGTAAGTGCCACATGACTAATTTTTTCTACAAGTTACCAATATGTGTGACAAGTGGCCAACTTAGTAGCCAAGTTTTCAACCTACCAACTATCTACAAACATATAAAAAGTCAAATTTGCATCTATGAAGCTTCCAAAAAGTGTCTTTACAAGATATTATCAAATTTACTTCTATTTATTTCTATCTAATTCCTTCAATCTAAATATATATATATATATATATATATATATATATATATATATAATATTTATAATAATACACTATCAATTATATCTAAATAATTAGATAACTTTCTTATCATTGAAAAATATTTAAATAATAATATTGTGCATTCTTTTATACAAAAAAATATCATTTTTAATCAATTATATTTAAAATATAAAATAAATAAAATAAAAAATATAATATCAAAGAAATTTATAAGTAGAATAGTAAAGTTTTATACAATTAAAAGAGACTCAATAACAATATAAGTATTAATATACAAGTTTTCAAAGTAAAACAAATTTCATTCAAAGTTGGTGGTAATATTTTAATATTCTATCATAATATTATTAAGACTAATTAATTTTTTCACAAATTAAATTATTGAAGACTTTATCTATTTTTATTAAAAAATAAATAAATATAATTGAATATCAATTAAAATAACTACAACCAATAGAAATTTATAGTATATTTTATGTATCTCCTACTAAACCTTATATTGTAATCAAAATATTAAGAAAAAAACAATTACTAGTACCTCTTATTAAAATAGATAAGAACCAAGAGTATGAAATAGAAGAAGTCTTGGATTTAACACAATGCCAAAATAAATTATAATGCCTTGTATATTAGCATAATTATAATATTTTTGAATGTATGTAGAAGCCATGTAAAATTCTTACAAATGTGCCAAAACCTATTTTAGTTTTTCAACAATGACATCTATAAAAAATAAAGATCAACTATTAATAAGAAGATAGTATGAAATAAGAAGGAATATGTCTAGGATCTAAACTTCAGAACATCCTTGCAAGATAAAAAACTAACAGTTATTAAATTTATCTTTAAATTTGTCATTTGCAAAATTATCAAATGAATCATTTCAATTTTTTTAATTTTTACAATGATTAAATTAAATTAAAAATCTTTTAGAAAGATATATTCTTTCTTAAATTGATGGCAACAAACAACATATATAATACTACAATCTTAGGTGTGATTCTTAATGCTTAATAATACTACAAGAGGTGAATATCACATCTAATAATATTTATAATGTATTGATTAGGATTTAGGATTTAGGTATTAGATTCTTTGTAATCAAAGAGCAATATTTTAAACAAACTATTTTCTTACATCATTTTTATACTATTTTTTATATAGATTTTATATTTATAGATCTAAAGTCATGGTTTAAAGCTTTTTAAAGATATCCAAATTGGTGAAAAAAATGTGCTTTTGAATATCTCACCATTTTAAGATAGTACAAAGTAAGGGAAAAAAAACCATCATATGGACCAAATTATTTTTTTATTAGTATTTAACTTATAGAACTTTCATTTGGATTGTGATAATCACACCAAGTATATTTAAGTTTTAATGGATATATTAAGCAATTTTCCACATAATTGTAAAAAAAATTAAATCACAGTTTTAGAATTAGAAACAATCTGTGGTTTAATTTTTTTCATGCCCTACATAAAAATGAATAAAACAAAATACAACTAACTTTTCTAAATGTAAAACTGACTGAGCAAGAGTTCTCAATTTTAATCAATCACAAGCTTATCAAAATTGAGGCCACTCTCCTTCTCCATTAAATATAGAAACCCCTTGAGATTGTTAGCAGACTGCTCTGAACTGCATGAAAGACTTCAACAAACAGCTGCATTCACAAGATTATCACGTTTCTCTTACACCTTGGTGAGTTTTTGACATCGAAATCAAGCTCGTTTTTTTCGCAATTCTGTTTACGATTGTGCAGTCAAGCATCTCGCAATCGATGCTCACAGAACATTCGATTCTAGCATGCCGTGAGCTCATGTCACATTATCACTGCAACCGTGATAATGTAGTAGAAATGAGAGTGATGGTTTTGAGAAGCTTGAAAGCATGGACAATTGTTATTCGAGATAAAAGAGCTTGCTGACAAACTCGAAATATCTGAACAACACTCCCGACAACGCAGCCTCAACATGAACAGCTGCAACTACACATCTGCTGCCTTAAAGTTTTCTTGAATTTGTATTATACAAAAGTATTATTTAAAAAATGGAATACTGTAGAAAATGTGACGTCTCTTTTACCTTGTTTTTCCTCGTATGAGAGCGTGAGGAGGTTATGTGGCGGAATATCAGTCCTTGTTTCTGTTCTCCAACTTTGCATGCACATTTGTTTCAGTGTGGGGTACTGTCTACATTCAAGGTTATCAGTTGCAGAGATAACAATTGATAATAAAATTATTTTTAGGTTGGGAGAGGTACGAGAATGGGTATTCTACTGTTGAAAGTTAGTGAGTGCACGAGGTTTTCGTGCAAACTTAAGCACAGGAAAAGGCGATCAGGGGGAAAGAACCGCGTCCTCTTACTTGACGATGTTTAAAGTCAGAGTATCAGACGAGTAGGGGAGTAAGAAATTAAGGTTGCAGGAATGAAAGCCGTTCAGGAAGTTGTGAATACGGCACATTCAGTTGTCTCTGGCATTATTCTATATCTAAAAGTACGATCCGATTACATTTCTTAAGGTGAAAATCGTGACACCACATTCTCTGTTACTGGTATTCGAGCACTAAAATACTGATTTTGGGAAGTGGGTATTTGACACTGTAACAGTTAGCACCAGTGGTGTCCTGGCAGAACTAGTCATATAGCGAGTTCAAGTCTGGAAGAATTACAAGACCTGTAACTGTTTCCACATTATAGTCAGTTACAGTGAATGGTTTCTTAAATAGATGCAACAAGTTTAATGAGGGAATTAACCTCAACAAATAATCCTAATCAAGGCAGAGTATTCCTTCCTTCAAAGAGGGATGCACTATTCCGTGTAATTACTGTATGAAGAGCACAAGAGGACGGATGAGAGGGTTAAAACTAATTCTCTTACGAAAATAACCACCTCTAGTACTCTCAAATTGTACACTACAATATGAACTATACCCGTTTCGCGGTACTGGTACAGAGCATGCATCAACTTGGACGCTTATGTCCATGCAACACATGACTCAAGCTAAAAATCTCAACATGCTACAGCCAAGATGGAGTGGCTTCACATAAATCCCACACTAGATTCGATGCAGAGCAAATAGCAACATATCTCCGCACCATGTTAATCAATCGACACAGCCACTTCCTCGCATTACAATACAGCTAAGAATTATTGAATAAATAAATAACCTATTTAGTGATGTGCTCAGGGCTGTGGCCGCGCTTGCACAATGTACACATCCTTGCCAATCACACAACCCTCAACATCCTGAGGAACGCCAAAGTGCTTCTCCAGAAAGAATCCGACAGTCGCAAGATACTGCCCTATTTGCTGTCTGTATTCGGTATCAACGGAGAGACGTTGATTGCTGTAATCCACAACTGCTTTTACGACGCTACCATCAGCCACATTGGCTCCACCCTTGACCATCATTTGCTCACTGAAATTCGCAAAAGCCAAAGTCTTCACAGTTCCATCAAATTTATTGGCCGCAAGACGCCATGGTGTGCCTCGCGTTCCAGAAGCCAGCGTTTCACCCAATCCCACTGCAATCTCAGCCTGAACCACATTCTTATCCTGATCAATCGGACTTACAGTATGCAGAACAAAACTAAGCTCCGGAGACAGAAGCTCTTGGACGAGGACAGCCATGGAAGCTTCCTTCTGTGGTACCCCGGCAACTCTTCGACTCAAGACAGCCCTCCTTGTGTACAGAGACGCCCACACTTGCGCTACTGCCTTGCCAAAAACATCAGGTTCGGAGAGTCTCACATTGGGAATCGACTCGTACAGACCGGCTCCCGACATGCCAGCCAAGTCCTCAACATTTGCACTTGACCGCACGATAAGCCTAGTTTCCTTGGGAAAACCATCTGCAGAAAGCTTATCTAGAATAGACTGTGCAGGCCTTTGTGCTGCAATAAGTACCTGTAATTCGTTGCACACTTTATCGAGCTCTCCACCCTCAAGTGAAGCAGTCTCCACCTTCTCAAGAAGTGTCTTAAACTTTGATGAAGAGCCACTGTTCTCAAGGGTGTCCTCCATGGCTCCGAATGGAATAACTTTACCTCTCGGCACAAGAAAGGCCGCAGATACCTTCTTTGCCTGCTCAACCAGAACAGCTAGCTCGCCACAAGCAGCTGCTTTAGAACCGGCATTCTCTGTTGTAGCTTCAGAGAGGTTAAGCACGGTACCAGGGGGGCTTCTGACCACCACGCTCTGCTTTGTCACAGTGATAGTGTCCTTCTGTTGTGATTTGGGTTCTGACACAGATTCTTGTTTATCTTGCTTCTGAGGAGATAGAGCATCGCGAAATTCAACATGGACAGACTCGGGTGATGCCACAATTTCAACAGGCTTGTTCAATAAGGTGCGCAGATTGGCTGACCTTTCTTCGTCGTCACAGGTAACAAAAACAATCTTCTCCTGACGAGCCCGGACGCCCAAGTGAGACAAATGTGGAAGCTCATGTAGGAGGATAACCCCTGCCACGTTTGACCCAGCAGCCTTGACCTCTTCGTCACCATCTGCTTGTTTAACAAGCAATATGATAGGTCCAGTAGCTGAAGTGGGCAAGGTGCCTGGAACAATTCTATCAACTTCAAGAAGTGTACCCCTGGCTCTTCCGGGCATTATGACATCAAAGCCATCCCCTCCGGCAGTAGTTCGAATAGCCTTCAGGAGGAAAGAGCACAACTTGGCGACTTGAAATACAACACTTGCTCGAATATCAGCTTCCGTGTAAGTCCTCACTGAGTTTTCGGGAATTCCAAGGGCATTCCCAAGCTTTTCCACGAAATCAGGGTACAGCTGCAACACCGTATCCGTGTAGTTTTCGGCAACTCGACGGACGCGGTCTATAGTTGCCTTCAATCTCAGTGCCCATGCCTTGGTATCGTTGGTGCGTGCAGATGTAGCTGACCAGGCAAGCAATTCATTCTTAATTGCAACACATTCCTCTTTCTGCAACCCAGACAAACCTAGTTGCTGAACAGCCATGGCGAGACTGGTCAATGCAGGTGTCCATTTCCCTACTCTTCCGCTTTTCGCTTCTTCTGCAAGCCATGAAGCACCTCCCTCACTTTCAAAAGCATTGATCAACCTGCTTAACAACACAAAAGAATAGTCCTCCAAACCTAACTCCGACAGACGCCATTTCTGACGCATGGCAATAGCTGCGTCAGATGCATCGTTCCGAAGTCCACTCACAAGCCCTTCCAAAAGTCTCTCCCGAATGCACGTCAGTGCATGTAATGTATCAAGCACTGACTCGGTAATTTTCGCTGTGTCGCTGGAGTTCAGCTGATCCAGCTTCCCTTTGCTTGCTAGGAAATGGTCCAAGATAACCTGACCCTCATCATCGATGGACTGGCGTAGTCCCTCCAGCTGCTCAGTCAAGCCACCAGCATTGAAGAAATCTTTCAACTCCGCGTAAAATATTTGAAACTCTTTCACAAATGCTTCATTGTACTGACCCGGATTTCTGGTAATTCTTGCAAGCATATTCTCGGTAGCTACTAAATCCTCCGGCCCTGCACTCCTATGCAACTTATTCTGTATAGTGTGCTTAATCTCTTGCTTCAGATCATGAGGGATGTCGTTGCGGTGCGCTATGTCGCGAATCCTTGTCAAAGGAACAGATGCTGTAAACTCTGCCTTGAAAGCAGGCAAGCAAGGATGAATCTTCTGAATCACCAATAGCTCTTTGAGATCAACATCCTTCTGGCCAGAGATGCGTTCAAGCTCGACAAAAATTCTTCTGGATATTTCAGCATGCTTATTAGGTCTGTAATGTTGACCATCCTCGTAGCACACAATCTGTCCTGTATTGATCCATTTTAGATATACTGCAGCATTGATAAGTGCTTTCAGCCTATCCTTCTTGCCAGCCTCCCCACTTAGGAGATCACGGACCACGTCCAACTTCCGCCACCAATTGCTCGCACTTTTATCACCTTCAACTATCTGCAATGTTGGTCCACCCAAACCTGTAGTATCCCATTTCCCGGACCTCTCTTTTCTATCTTTAACGGAGGCTCCCTGCCATTCCTTCACAAAAGAAGTTGACATTTCACGCACTGCCTCCTCAACCTTTGAAGATTCGGCCTTGCCCTCAGTCTGCTCTTCTGCTTTCCCTGCATGCCCGTTGTCGGAGCCATGACTTTTTGGCGATCGCCCTCCTTGAAATTGAGGGTCCTCCTGCGTGCAACCCCAGTGAGTGACGAGCTCAAAGTCGCCTTCGTCAGGCAGTGATATTGTGCGATTAGGACCCTCCTCCCAGATGACGCCGCCGTCGTGGGTAACGATGATGTGTTTGTACTCGACTGTCTCCCCAGAATCCCCCTCCAAATCTACAACCCATCCTGCTTCTGTCCATGTCATAGGCACCTTTTCCTGCCATGCACCTATACTCTTTGCAGACCCCAAGATCGCATGCGTTTCACCAAACTGGACCTGATGATCTAGACGCACGCGCACCTTCACTTTCTCTCCACATCGCACCGATAACACCGATCTCATGTTCCCTGCACCAACCCTTCGTCCTTTGACCTTACTTTGCGTGACTGCAGCCTTCCTCAATCCTTGGAAACTGATCCTCCGCAGCCCCATCTGGCCCAACTGTCCACATTGCATTGCACTGCTACCAGCCATGGCTACTGCGCTCTTCCGACTCACTCTCTTATAGATACTGCACCAGAATTCCACGTCGAATCTCTCACTTCAAGGACAGAGCTCTGCATTTACAAATCTCCGTTGAATTAGTTTTCAATATTACACGATACTATGATAACCTGTGAATTATAAAAGAATAGGTCTACATACGTAGGGAAGGACATGTAAAGAAAATCAACCATCGATGTTGATGATAACTTGATAAAACCCAACCATGTAAGATTTCGAGGAATATCTTGTTTCTAATCAGGCAACTTTTTCTGAAACTGACACTCACAAACCAAAAGTCGCTACCACCATTGAACAGATGCAATAAAGAGCTTCACATGAACACGAAATTTTTTTAATCAACGAAGGTATGAACGCATATTCATTGTAGTCATCCAGGAGAGGTTCAACAGAAGATGCATCTAATTTTCATTAAACTAACTCATCAGATCATTTGACTAATTATTCAAATTCAACTATTTATGACTTCAGAAATGGCGAACCAAGCCACAACTGAAGAGACCAACAACTGGAACTTGCATTGAAATTAAATTTAAGATTCTACCCATCCGCATAAGACCTCGCACGTCAACCAACACACTTACAATCAAGGTTATCAATCGACAGAAGTACTGTCAATGTCAGTAATCGCAATTGCTTCGAGTTCCCAAATCCCACGTCGTGAGACACGATTTAATCATGAGCATCTCCAAGACATTTAGTCCTCCAAGGATTTGAGAAAAAACATGTAGGAAGTTGTAAATCTGCTACAGCGTTTCCGTGCCCTTGAATTGACTAATAAGATTTCAAAAATCTTTTAATGAGAACTACAACGAAACATAGGTAAAAAAGATCTGCGATTTCGTATTCAAAAGTTCGCAGCCACTCACCCTGATATTAGAGTTGAAACCCACTTCATCTCTCGCTTGACAACAAATATGATCTCACCAGAAAAAGACATCCCATAACTAGTTGTAGTTCGTACTTTGATAACGAATAGACCAAAAGTGGGAATCAAGGTGGAATATCCAATACCACATCATAAAAATAAATAATTAAATAAACTCCGAACTTCTAATGTATCGAGCATGAGAAAGCTGCAGGCAAAGTTTCAAACGACTATACACAATAGAACCAGTCCACTTCATAAAATCTGCTCGAATCTACGATTGTGTAATGCACCAGACAAGGAGACCTCTTCCAACCCCTCAAATCAAAGAATAGCTAAAACAGCTGATGAACTACGCTTTTAATATTACATGTACAAGGATTTCCCAACAAAAACACAAAAAAATAGCTCAAAAAAGAAACTCACAGCTGAAAATGACTAATTTCATACAACGAATCAAACCCAAAGCTCCCTAGAATGCTTCAAACTCAGAAAAAATTATCTTCATACACAGAATTACTGCCACAGACCTAAAGCTCGCTGGACCCCGAGACCAGGCCATAACCACTGTCTGCTAACTCACGAAAATCACGACCGTCCCTGTGAAATTAAGCCTTAACCATTCACATTCCAATTCATGCGCATTTCAATAAACGTTCCAAGACAAGGGACTCGCATGAAAACTTCAAAAATTTCGAAAACAGAAGTGGACAAAATGCAGGGCCCCACGCCTGCAAGCACATACCGGCACTGTCAATTCGCATTTCCCAGCTCCATATTCCTACAGCTCTCCAAAACCTCCCTTACAAAAATGCGGCAGACACAGACAGACCCACCCCCCTTTCTTCCCTCTCTCCCTAGAACGGACTCCAATGCAACGCATAAAGACGGCGACACTGAACAGCACAAATGCGCTGCGACGGAGGGCCCAGGAGACAGATCCGTCTTGAGAGATCAGTAGATACAGAGGGACTACGAGGGGAGAGCGATGACACTTACACCCGAGAGATATTTCCCAGCATGAATCGTCTTCCTCCTCCTCCACAACGAATATGCGGACCCACATCCCACATGATATATCATCCACGAGCACAATCGATTACGCGGCCCTGGCCGTCAATCGTCACCGCGGAATCCCCATCTCGAGCGCGGTCGTCGTGCTCGCGTTGGATGGACTAAGAGCCCGCTTCGCGATGGTGCGAAGTCCCATGCGCCTTGAGCCAACAAATCGTTGATGAATGGTGCGCGCTCACTCACGATCTGTGCGTTGTACCAGGTCCTGGTCTTCGATGATGCTCCGTGCCGCTGCATGCTTGCCAGATGGTGGGCTGCAACTCCAACAGCAACTTACGATGGCAGCATCACCCCTCCTTCTCTCTCTCACTCGCTATCGCCATAGCCAGAGCCTCCTTGCAACTCCGGCCCCACGGAACCCTAATCCATTCGTATCTACTACGGTGTATTTTTGTATATAAGTATATATGTGTATGTGTATCTGTAATGTACTTCGTATTGTGTATGCGTTTGTGAGGAGGGGATTGTCTTGTAAGTTCCGAGATTTATTGGGCATGAAAAACTATATGTAATTATATGTAGGTGTGATGTGGTTTAGGGTTTGACATGGTGATTAAGGTGGAAGGTGATTTTGTTAGCCTTGCGTGGGAGTTGGAGGGAAATATTTGTATGATGTGTAACACAAAGTTTAAATTTCAAGAGACAATCCAAAAAGTTGCTAATTAAACTTTTAGTAATTTTATTTATTTATTTATTTTGTTAAAGTTTGTAATGTATTGGGTGCCAAAAGTATAGTTAAAACTTTTGACTGTTTGATGTAAATCTTTAAGGATATTTACACTGAGATAGAAATTTTACTTTGATACTATTGTATATTGTACTTTTTGTAAAAAGAAGAAAAAAAAGTATAAGATTATTTTATCTAAATAAAAATGCATTAACTTTTTCCAATATACTTGACAAATGTATTGTTTTTCATGAAATCAAGAAATATATGTTATTATCATTTAGAGCTGTATGAATAGTTGTTTATTTTTTAAAAATAATTGATTTTAAAGTTAACAAAACTGAACCATTTGGATGTATTTTAATAGGGCATACATATATTAAGTGTAGTATTATTTAATTAAAATTTATAACTAAGGTTAGTATAAAAGAGTGGTAGAATGCTCTACAAGTTCATAATGAATTAAGTTATTAAATAACTTCATAATGTTAATTTATATGACTCAAAGGTATTAAATTAAGTTTTACATAGTATGAAGTTATTAAGTTTTCAAAGACAACTTTGGAGTTTAAGAATCTAAACAAACCTCTAATAAAATATCTGTAATTCATTAAAACTCAAACTTACAAAATTTATAACTATTATTTCAAAGATATAGTCACTTATATTTTCTGTATATAAGGGAATAAAATTAATATAATTTAAAAAATCTACTTTTAAATAACTACATCAGATTTAAATTTTAATTGATATTATTTTTATGCAATATAAATTTATTTATTTATTTATTTATTTTAATTTTTTAAAAAATATTTTAATTGATGTATTTTGAAATTCATTTTTTGTTATAAAATTGGTATAAATTTTAACATATATGTTTTAACATATATATATATATATATATATATATATATACATATCATTTTGATGATTTTTACTTATTTATATTCCTTCAAATTTTTCTGAATTAATTTTAGATTCTTTCAGAAAATTCAAATAAAAAACGTAGGAGACAAGACTTGTTAAAGACCTTTCTTAGTCGACTTTTGTGTAGCAACTTGAGTAGCAAGCTTTTGAAGAAACATTGTAAAAAATGTCCTCAACAACTTGAATAATAAGTCATTAAGAGCTGAAATGAAAAAGAAGACAAATATAAATATATTAATTTATTGCTAATAAAGTTTCGAAATAAATATTTTTATGTACTCAAGATGTTAAAATATTTTCAAGATTGATTAACAAACTTAATATGAATTACATGGAAGATAGTTTCACTTAATTAATCATATTTTTACAATAACTAAATCTTTGTACCATATGTTATACTTCCATTTACATAATTAAATTAACATATTACATGTGTTGGCATTGAACTATTTCAATATAGCACCATGTGCTGTGGAATTAAGTGAAGTATAATAAACTGAGATGCACTACAAGAGATCCAAAATAAACCTCTCTAATACTTTTGATAAATGCAGACTTATGAACCAATTTTGAATATAAAAAATATTGTTTGTGTAATATGTAATATTTTTGCAGTCACATGATTTTATTAATTCTTCATTAACTTATAATCCTCAAAGATCTTGCAATTATAAATGTCAGTATACATTGAGATTGTAAACTTTTTGTCACCTGATACTGATACTACGTAGATGTACTTCTTTATATACCACAATCTATTAAAAATGTAGTATTCGTTTGGTTTTACACAACTTTCATTGAAAGTCGATAAACAAATAGACAATTAAGAATTGAACCAATAATCATCATCACAAAGTGCATCTAATTAGCTTTCAAATGATGACAGAGGAAAGGATAAAATATTGCAATAGAAAATTGCTCAACATGCACCAGCTGCGACAGTTACGACATCATGTCAACATTTTCACAATCTTAAATACATTTACCTTCAAATATCTCAACTCCTTCTCCAACAGCACGTATAACGAGACGCTGAAGGTACAAATTCCACGCATAGATACCGAAATCTTACTTTCATTTTTTTACCGATTCAAAAATGTTCATTAAAAGTATTTTAAGTATTTTAAAAATATTACTGTACTTCTATACAAGTTTCACACTTGTATGGATAAGTCCTAAAAATCAAGTAAAATATAGTAAAATAAAAGAATAAATGTTTAACTTGTTTAAGGGTTTCGATAACAAACTACCAAATTGTTCGTAAGCATGCATTGTGTTGATGACACAAGTGCGATAAGTTTTCATGAAATGAATATGAACTCATAAATGTTAGAAGTGTGAGGAGTTTCCAGAAGATGAACACCACCATCGAAACAACAGAATGGCATGCATGCATTCACTCTTTCATAAGGGAGTTGAAAACGAGCAAAAGCAATAAACTGATATGCACTACAAGAGACCCAAACACACACAAAAAAAAACAACGAAGAACAGCAAAATCAGTTCAGCACGCACCATAACGAGGACGGAGTGCCGAAGCAACGTGACTGAAGCAAAAATAGCCCTCGTTCAGACCCTGCACGTAGTCTCAGATGACTGAGGACCTGACTATGAGTAAAAACTCCATAGCAAGCAAGCAAACAAGACAGACACGAACAAATAAACCATACACGCAAGCAATTAAGCCAAGTAATGAATGAATCCACTGCTGAAGCGGAAATGGTTGAAAAGAGAAAAATTTGTTACTAGTGTACAAATTGTCTGAGAAGTGGTAACAGCTTTAGTATGCAGGTGAGGCTCCACCACCCTGCTACAACTGCAAGAAGTGGGGGCATCCACTTTGAGTCGCAGGCTGGTCACTGAACGGCGAGCTTCACTCATCACCAAAATGTCACACTGAAAGGGGTGAGATCGGTGTTTGGTATCAAAATTGGATTTCATAAGAATGCTTCAATTAGCAAGTCGAGGAATCTTCAACATGCTGTGGAAACTTCAAAGCATACGGAGGGATGCTGCTGAGATAAGGGCAGAGCAAGGAGGACTTTTTTACATGGTCGGGAGTAGTTACAGCACCCCATTCCTCCCTGAGTAGTCTCGGTCGCCACACTTCCAGTAGTGAAGGTTCTGATTTTATACAAAAATATATAGATATACTGTTTTCAGTAGCCACTGCTGATGCGTTTCATGTAACTTGGATTCGAGACTCCTGATGGCCCATACCCTTGGCTCGGCCTGTAAGACGAGCCGAACTCCTCATACATTGGTCCACTCTCCCGTTCGAGATGAGTATCTCGGTAAGAAGGCTCAAAATGCTCGTAGTAAGTGGCAGGGCCGTGGTTCTCAAAGCGTGCTGCTCTATCATCCCTGTTTCCGTGGAGTTCCTCCAGATGACCATACGAAAATGACCCTCCATAGGGCGACATATCGGCTCTTGGATCATAACTGTGGTGGCTATAATATCCTCGCTGCATCTCAATGTTATCATCCTCTTCGAGTATAGTGTGGGATCGGCTTCTCTCCATTCTCTCGTATGATTCATGGCCGTTCCTCTCCGAATAACCAGGATGTTCCTCGTAAGATGACAAATGTTCGCTCTCCTCGTATGCGTGATGGCCCCGAACTTCGTCTGGGGGAACATGTTGATGGTAAGATGATGTAATCTCATCCTCGGGCTGAGCTTGACCAGTCTTAGATTGTATGAAGTTTATAAACGCTTGGCTATAAATTTGCTTGGTCCAGAAATCGGCTTTCTTCTTGGACTTCTGAATCTGTTTCAACACTACTTGGGGATCTACTTTGCCGGTCACAGTAACCTTCGAACTGCGCCTGTCCGTCTTAACTTCAGTAACGCCTGCAACACCGAAAAGAGAAAGAGATGTCAGAACGCGAAATGAAGCAAACTTAACGCCCCCTTCAAATAAGCGAGTCGTGCAAGTTGTGCTCGCAGTGCAAAGTACTTACCCGGCAATTTTCGTAAAGTATCCTTCGTCTTCGCCTCACATTTGCTACAGCACATTGGTACCCTCAACTCAATCTCCTGAAATACCAAATGTAGCCAAAACGAGAGTTAGGCGCGCTCAAAACTTAACTGTGCAAGGGCCACACATTCGAAACAAGCACTAGCGGCACTTGCCTGCACGAAACGAGAAGGAAAAAGAGCTTCATACTTACCGGTGCCACCTTTTTGGAACGGGATTCCAAGCGAGGTTCCCCAAGGTTGTAGACCGGAATTGCACTTGACGACCGAGTTGGACGATTTGAAGTTGGGCTGTTGGTGTGCAACTCGTAGGCTGGAACGGCACTTGTCGACCGAGTTGGACGATTTGAAGGTTGGTTGTGAGAGTGCAACTCGTAAGCGGGGACAGAACTTGTCGACCGAATCGGACGATTTAGGAGCGCACCGCGAGAGTACGCATCCGGAAAAGGCCTTCCTGGGTAAGCATATGCGGGAATAGCGCTGGACGATCGAAGAGAACCCCCTCGAGGTGGAAGTGGTTCAACAAAAGGGGATTCGTCATAATGGCTGAAAGCAGGTATAGAGCTAGAGGTTCGAGGCACCCGCGACAGCGACTCAGAAAATGGCGATAGAGCATGGTAGGGGGCAAAATATGACTCATCATGCAGAGGATATTGGTGCGACTCGCGAAAGCCCTCGTAAGGAGCTTCATCAAAGTAGGGGGCAGGCTCCCTTATCGGGGCCATCCATGCGGGTTCGTGCCTTCCATAGTAAGTCTGCAGAAACCACAGCAGCACAACTTGTCAATGAACAAAATCATCCCGCAGAAACATAGCAGATGCTACACGACGCTCAAGGTTACAACAACTAAGAGCAATGGACTGTCTTCCTTTCGAAGTCCACACGTCGGATTTCAGGAAGGGACCTCGTGAAGTGAACAACCCAATCCTCCAATCATTCAGCTACCTACTTGAGATCCTAATGTCCTACTTCTTGCGTAATCCGCAGCCAATTGACTCACCACTATCTATGCTTTTTTATTTTAAAAAAACTGAAAATAAATGAAAGTCTAAGCATCTCTCCTGTTCCAAATCTCACACTCTGCACTAGTGGCTACCGCTCACCAGGAGACTCGTCAGGATCTAAAACGCTGACAGAAACTACAAAGACCAGAGTGGATTCACAGTTACGCACCTCTCTCATGAGTGTCGCCATGGAGCCACGCTATAGCTGAAGCTACAACAAAACCCCACACAGCAGGAACCGTTTCGGATCGATTTCTTGGTCGAAAACTCTTCCAGTCAGCGGAAAAAGGCTAGATCACAACAACGCTGACGCAGCAACAGAGTGCCCAAGGCACATAATTTCTCTAGCAAACAGACAGACAGAACGGACACACACACACACACACACACGCCGACTGCTGACGCTCCTCAAAATAAATAAAACAGAGACAGAAGAATTCCTATGTCGAGGGAGAAGAACTGCTGGTGTCTGGCTGGAGTTATGAGCATATGATGGCAAGATATAAGCGCGGCTCAGATAGATAAGGCTGAATATTCAAACACAAAGCGATGACCGACATCCACAGAGGGGAATCGAAGTTGCTACTGCTGCTGCACCCGACGGAGCTTCGTCTCCCCAAGGGCGTGTGCACGGAGGCAGACGACGCTGTAATGAATGAAGGAGACGAGGATGGCGCACAACAGGACACCCACCCGCTTCTGCGCATCACAGGTCTCCGCAGCAGGCATAAAGCATTCTAGAGGCTACGCTATCGTCACCGTTTTATTATGCGCTCAGTGGATTTTATAAACCCCGCCCCGCCCGCGCTTGTCACTTAATCATCGGAGAGCTGCCGGAACTGTGCCCAGCCAGAAAGTAGTATTACCCACTTTGACAAAGTTGACGCGCTAATTTGCCGTCTGGTCGGTCAATCCCGGCGACCTTTGCCTTCCTTCCAGTTCCCCTCCGTCGAGAGACTCCTCGTCGTTATTTCGGCATCGCCACTTGGGCAGAACCTTCCTTCCTTCCGTTCGCCCCACCGTGACGCAGCAAATCATTCCGACACACGTATCTGGGATGCGACCTTGTCAGACCCAGACCCAGCTCCGGATCTGAAGCCCCGCTTCCACCCCCCCCCCCCAATTCATTAATTCAGTCATTTCCCCTCTCCCTCTTGTGGGTCTAGAAGCCAGGCATCTCTCTTACGCTCTTTTATGAATCCCTGTCTGTGCGAGGAGGGGTTAATTCACTCCCAGTAAAATAAAATAAAATAGAAGGAAAAGCCTTTCTCTCATTACTGCAACCCACTGCGGGTATCGTATGCGACATTGTGTACAACTCCCTCCCCGTACTAACACAAACTAGGCCAGTCAGTATTTACAATCGTGTTGTAGCACACTTAGACTCGCACTCACTTGCTACAGTCCACCCTCGATGTGTGTTACTCCAACAAGTGTCAAAATCGTATATGTGTTAAGGAAAATTGAGCTCCCCCCTCTAAAAAAAAACACTAGTAAGTGATAATTGTTAAGAGAATTTGTAAAATTATGTTCCTTTCTTCAATGAATTCACCTTCACAAGTAATAATTTTACATTATTGTATATAGCTCACCATATCTTCACACATCATCCATTCTACATCATACAAACATCATTGGTCACAAACTCTATCAACATATGTGGGATTTAAACTTTAAGCCATCTTCCATCAACCTCTTTGTATTTGACTGTTGTATAATGTGAGGATTTAGTAAGGTTATAATATTGTAATAGATTTGTAATTTGATGATTTAGAGAGGCTAGAGGTTTAAATCTATAATAGAAAAGAAATTCGAATTTATTTTGATGTAAAAGAAAGAAATCATCTAATATCATCAAAGCTTGGTGTTTAGTGGACAAAATATTACTAATAAGGTTTTGGCAGCATAAGCTAATTCTACTTATCATACATCAATTGTAGATATGGATATTTGGAAATTATTAAAGAAGAGAGATTTATTGGATATTATTATTCAATATTTAGTTGTCACGAATATATATAGATACTATAATAAATACCTATATGATTAGATAGGAGTAACTAAAAGTAGCTTAATTTCATAATACCTTTTAAAAAAACTTCTTAGAAGCTTCATAGATGCTACTTTGACTTTATATGTTTTTGTAGTTGATTGGTAGGTTAGAAACTTGGTCAATAAGTTAACTACATGTTGATAGCTTGTAAATAAAGCTAATTATTTGGAGCACATATAGATTTTTTTTTTTGCAAGTTAAGATACATGTCTTGCAAAGTCAACACATTTTGAAGGTCTTATAGGACATCACCACATAGCTCCTAGTTAAGAATATATATGGAGGCAAGAATGAAGCCTTCTTCTTTCAAGAGTTTCTAGTCTTTTTGTTTTTAGTAATAGTCATTTTAATTCAATATTATATCATCTTTGAGTGATTTCCTAGTTCCTTTCAGTGACACAAGAATGTATTGAGGATTTTCTTTCTTCAAGATTCATGTCCTTGATAGTTTGATAAGTTTGCTAACTTATTGTTTCTATCTTATTTTAAAAATGAGTGGATTATTCTACTTCTATTATTGTGTTTTGAAGGTTACAAACTACTTACCTTTAAATAAAAAAAATCTTATTTTATAACACTGATCTTTTCTTCAAAGAGAGTGAATTACCTTTCTTTGTTGAAATTTTCATTTGATATTAGAGGTTGCAAATTACCTTCTTTTAATTTAACTTTTTGAATTTATTTGCATTATCTATAGAAAGAAAGATTATGGATGCTACTCCTAGCAGAAGTAAGAATAGATTTGTAACTATTGCAAATCTTCATGAACTTATTAATACTCTAAGTGTAGAAATCTCATATAGTTCTAATGTAAATCATAGAGGTATTATGCCTACGCCTATGAAAGAAGTTCAAAGTTTGCGACAAGAAGTTATACAATTGGAGGAAGTAAGTAGATCAACCTTGCAATAAATCTAGGGAGTTTTGCTTCCATAAGTATGACAGAGTTAAAGATTAGTATGCATGAGAAGTTTGATAGAACAAGAACAAAATTTTGAAGATTTTTGCAATAAATCAAGCTCTATCTAAGCTTGCATCCTTTCCAATACTAAAGTCAGATTTATAGGTGCACTTCTATTAAGAAGTGCTTTCTTTTGTTTTACTCTTTTAATAAAAAAGAAATTCATGAATCTTTTAATATTTAGATTCATTCTTAGAAGTGTTTGTAGCCACAATTAGTAAAAGTGATCAAGAAAGAATAATACAAACTAAGTTTTTATCTTTACAATAAAGATTATGGTTAGCTACCATATATGCTATTGAATTTTAAAATCTAAATTGTGACATGGACTCAAATGACAAAGCCCTTATAAATCAATTTCAATATGGATTGAAAGATAATGTCAAAGATTTATTATTGACAATGCCAAAAGCAAAAAAAAATGAATAATTTATTATTCAAGCCATTGCATGTGACAATCAATTATTTAAAAGACGTCAAGAATAAAGATTTGGCTAGAGAAGAACAAATCAAATAAAGATGGTTGCTCTCAAGTTTTCAAAAACTTATTCACTGAGGCAAGAATCAATGCAAATTAATATGGTATATTTTAAATTCTTCAAAGAGTAGAAAAAGACTCAATGACATCAACAAGGCTTATGCTTATATTGTGGAAAAGCTTAAGACACTACTCAGCATTATTCAAAGAAACAATATAATCACAAAATGAGAAGCATGCTTGCCAAAGAAGATAAGGTGTCAAAAAATAAATTTCTTCAGCTACAATAGAGACCATGCGGTTGGAATCTTATATAACTCCTAGTAAAGGTCCTATTCTCTCCTCAGATCTCTCACCTCATTTTACAATAGAAGTTGATTCAGGACCAAAAAATCAAAAAGTCTTAACTTTGTTAGATTCAGAAGCCTTAGCCTATTTTATAGAGGAAAATTTTGTCAAAAAAAAAGAAATATCATTTTTCAAAAAAACTAAACCTATACATGTAAAAATCAAAGATGGTTGTTTGCTATCTACTAGAGATATTACGCATGTGATTGTTCTTTTAGATGTACTAATTAAAGATCATAATAGCATAGTAATATTTAATAAAATAAGAACTCTATCCAATTCAAGTATTTAAGGATTATTTTAATTAAAAAAATATATTTCTTAGATAGATTAGATTTCTTATAAGAAAATTATTTTGATAGTTTAATTCAAAATTTCATTAGTCAAGTAGAAATACATAAGTCTAGTACATCAAAATCCTTATGTCAAGGATACGAACTTGATAGAAATAAATAAAAAAGTGAAACTTTTTTCAAAGAAAGATGACAAAATAGAAATAACTAAATATGTATATTAACAAAGAAATTGGAATAGCTATTGCCAAAAGACAAGAAAACTAGATACCCTTGAAACTAGACTAGAAGTAAGAAAGAAGTTGACAAGAGTAAAGAAGGCTTCACTCTTCCTTCTATATATATTATCTACTTAGGAGCTACATGGTGACGTTCTATAAGATCTCCAAAAACGTGATGACTTTGCACAATATGTATTTTAACTTGTAAGGCAAGTTTTCTATATAGACACCACATAGTTAGCTTGTTTTGTAAGCTACCAATACATGTGGAACGTGGTTAACTTATTGACCAAGTTTCTAACCTACTAACTAAGTATAAACACATGTAAAGTCAAAACAACGTCTATGAAGCTTCTAGAAATCTTTTTTAGAAGATATTATGAAATTAATCTACTTTCACCTACTTCTACCTAATCATATCACTTAGATAACAGTTATAGTAAATATATGTCCATGACATTATCCCCCTTTCTAGGAACGAGTTCTACAAGGAGCGATGATCACATGTCGAAGAAGTTTAAGATGGGGCAAATTGTATTTGCTACATACTCTGATCTTTATTCTCTTCGAAGATGATTGATAGGGCCTCTCAACTATCGATAGTGTCTCATACCAAGGTAGAAAGATCACCCTGTTATTTGATCGTTTTTGAGGCCATCATAGCTTCCTTCAAATAAAATATTTGGAACACCATCAGGAGTTGATTCTACCTCTAGTAAAATCACCAAACATCAAGAGTCTCTTCCGAGGTCATGATACCAAATGCATTGTATCTCGCCATCTATTCAAGAAAAAATATGTCGATCTTGAGGATCTTTTGACGAAGATCAGCAAATACTTGCTTACTTACAACCACATGGAGATTAAGTATAATATATTGCTAATAGTAAAAATGTAGCAAAGAGTTAAAATAAGTTATTCTGATGGCATCAAGGATTTAGTTGGATGAGGTAGAAATGGATGTAATATCAAAAAGATGGAAGTTGCCTCGTTTGTGAGCAAACCACCACCTATAAGTAAAAAGTGTTGGAAGTAAGAATCATCTTTCTCCACACTTTTCTTAGACTACAATCTTTGCTAATGCTAAGTGTTTGTAGTTTTTAGATTTCTTTTCTTCAATAGGTTATGGACCCACTCACATTTGCTTGAGTATTTTTTGAAGTTCTTTGAAGTAGTTTTGTAAGTGTGGAGTAGATCAAGTTGTTGTTGCTGATGTTAGGCTTTGGAAGATCCTAACTTTCAGATTCAGATCTAAATCTAGATCATGGTTTACTCTTACTTGTGGTTAAGAGCATTTTGGTGTTAATGTCTTGTTTTTCACCTATACACAAAGTTTGCATTGTACTTTTGCTGAGATAGATCCTAGATAATCTAACTTTATGATTTCATGTCCTAAAGTTATTGATTGTGCTTAAAAGGCCTCTTCTGG